CGATTTTGAATTTTTCTTATTTGGTCGACGGGAGGCATGCATGGGATGATGGGGAGGTGAAATCTTAGCCACCACAGGTGAAGTGGGAAGGAAGGATGTTAAAAGGGGAGAGAAGGTCGGATCTTAAATAAGAGAAGAAAAAAGAAGGAAAAAAAAACGAGACAGAGAAGAGTGCAGCAGAAGGAAGAGGAAGGCGCACGGAGGAGGAGAAGAAGAAGGGAGCGAAGATTCGAGGGACGAAGAAAAGGTAGGGGGAAGATTTGAGGGACCTTCAAGAAGGAGGAGGAGGAGGAGGAGGAGGAGGAGGAGGGGTGGTCGTTGAATTGAGGAGGGCTCGCGTGCAAAAACGAGAAGTAGTCAAAGGAGAGAATAGGAGGAGGAGGAGGAGGAGGAGGAGGAGGAGGAGGAGAATTCCGAAAGAAGACCTGGAGATGAGAGAAGAGAGGAATTTCAAAGGAAAAGAGAGGAGAGGAGAGGAGAGGAGAGGATAGTACTAGGGAACGTAAGTTTTGAGCATAGGGCAAGCACGCAGTGAAAAAAAAAAAAAAAAAAAAAAAAAAAAAAAAAAAAAAAAGAGAACGCGGGGAGCCAGGGAGGTGTGTGCTGTTGCTGTCGGGATCTTGCAGGTTGAGCCCGACAAGGTCTCGTCGACAGATGCAGTCTCAGCAGACACAATTGGAAGACAGAAGTTGAGTAGGGATCCGGACAGCAGAGCTCGAGAAGGAGGAGGTGCTGGAGCAAAAACTTTTTTTTTTTTTTTTTTTTGGTTGTTGTTGGAGCAAAGACTTTAGAGACCACCTTCCTCCCCGCCTCCTCTCCTTCGCGTCGTACACGAAACACTCGTCGCGTTCTCTATCCTGATCGTGCGCGCCATCTTCCCCCAATCTTCCCCCCATCCCCCCCCCCCCCCCCCCCCCCCCCATCTTCCCTCCCCCACCCGCATCCTCCCATCATCTTCCCCCCCCCATTGGGGGAAGGGGTCGTCTGCATTCACTTGATCTCATTGCTCATCGGTCGGTATCGGAACCGCATTGAGGAGGAGATCGAGATCGGAGTGATTGAGCTGTGCGCGTAGCGCACACTTACAGATCGCGTTTGTCCGCTTCCCCCCCAACTTCCCCCCGCACTCCTCTTGCTGTCTCTCCCTGGCCTTCGGACCTTGATTGCTAGCTGCCCGCCAAGCCGATTTGCGCGTATGCGCGTATCTGGGGAAGATCAATTGAGCGCCAAGCCTCGCGTCCTTTTCTCGTCATCGTCGGCGCACTCCACGTTTTATCTCTTTCCCCTGGCTCCCCCTACTCGTGAGCGCACTGGCTCGATTGCTAAGATAGCTGCGCGCAAGTCCATTGTGGTGCGCGCGCAAGAGCATTTGCGCGCGCGAAAGAGCATTTGCGCGCGCGAGCCCGATTTGTCGGAGGCGGCAGCAATTGCGCGCCAAGCCGATCGCGGAGCTGAATCGTCGGGGCGCTGTGGCAGGGAGAAAGAGAAGAGACGATAGAGAGAAGGTAGGAGAAGGAGGGAGAGTTGGACACGACGACAAGGGGAAGTCACATGGGGGGAGGAGTGGATGGGGGAGGATGGGGTTGGAAGGAGGAGGGGAAAGGGGTTGGGAAGGGGAGAGGAGGAGGAAGGGGGGAAGGGAGCGCAGGTGCGGTAGCGGAGGGAGGACGCGGAGCGGAGTGCGGAAGCGGAGGTGTTTTTGGGACTAGTAGCACCACCAGCAACTATTCGTCGGGCGGAAGACCGGCGGGCGCGGGGGGCGCCCTCGATACAGTCGGCGGCGCATCCTCCGCCAGCGCTGCTTACAAAGGCGGAACTCGAGGGGTGGGTGAATCTGGGAAATCTTCATCTGGAAGCAGCTCCCACTCGCATTTGCAGAGACATCCCGCCGTCTCTTCGTCATTACCAATCAACGGGAGAATTGTGTCATCGTCGAGCAATGGAGAGGGAGGCCGGGAAGGGGGAGGAAGAGAAGGGTGCATGGGGGCGAAGAAAGGAGGGGGAGGCGGGGGAGGGGGAGGGGGAGGTGGAGGGGGAGGGGAGGAACCCCCATGGAAACGGCTTAGGACAGCGGACGAGTCAGGTCCCGCAGGAGCTTCCGACGTGTGCGGGGGCACTGGGGGGGAATTAACAGCAGCGCCGGCGGGCGGCGACCTGCAGAAAGGCGGGAATTGCACCAACACGTCGGCGTATTCTTCGCCGGGATCGCAGAGTGGACCTCAATCGACGGGTGGGAGTCTCAGATACCGACCGTGGCTCTTCAAGACGCGATTATGTGCGAAATTCATGAGTGACCGAATGTGTCCGTACAGCGACGGGTGCAGCTTCGCCCACGGGAACCATGAGCTGCAGACCCCGCCTCCGCCTTTCGTGAGTGATATGGCCGGGCCAGGAGTATTGGGAGAGGGAGGGGGCGGAGGAGGAGGAGGAGGAGGAGTAGCTGGAGGAGGAGGAGGTGGAGGAGGAGGAGGAGATGGAGGTGGGGGAGGACAGTACGGCAGCGGGAATCCGAGGAAGCTGAGAGCGTGTATGAAATTCATGAAGGAGGGGAGTTGTCCCTACGGGGAGCGGTGCTGCTTCTGGCACGATGATGGGACGTCTAAACCACCAGGTGGAGTACAAGGAATGTCAGCTTCGTCGTTTACCAAATTAGGAATAAAGCCGCCTAATTGGAAAACGAGATTGTGTAATAAATGGGAGGCAAACGGGGCCTGCTTCTTTGCGGATAGATGTCATTTTGCGCACGGAGAGGCTGGTAAGCAATCAAGCTCCCAAAGCCACCCACATGTCCATGTCTCTATTCCGTGCCCCCCTTCACAAGATGCCCCCTCACTACCTTGCCACCTTGCTCCCTTGCTCCCTTGCTCCCTTGCTGCCTTCCTCCATGCCTCCTTTCTTCTGATCCCCCCCTTCCCTCCCTCCTTTTCTTCCGTGCTCCCTCCTCCCTCCTCCCTGTTCCCTCCTCCCTCCTCCTCCCTTCGGTCATCGCTTCTCTTGCATAGCTTTTTCTTCTTCTTTCTCCATTTTTCTTCTTTGTTTTCTTAAATTCCTTTTCTGATTATCGAATTTTCAAATCTCTCTCTCTCTCTCTCTCTCTCTCTCTCTCTCTCTCTCTCTCTCTCTCTCTCTCAGCCAACACCTCGCATTTTCAATTGTTTCTAAAATTTGGAGGGTGCGGGGACGATGTCGATGTTTTTTTTGTTTTGTTTTGTTTTGTTTTTTCCCTCCCTCGCGGTTTCCCCAGCCAGATACTTACGCAATGGCACAAAGCATTCGCTCGCGTCTCTCTCTCTCTCTCTCTCTCTCTCTCTCTCTCGGGGTCTGTGATGGTCGCCTTTCGTTTTTCCGTTTCGTTTTTCACCTATCCTTTGCGTTTGCTGCTCCTGTGCAAATTTGCAATTTTAGTTCGTTTTAGTTTTGTTTCCAAATTTGGACTATTTTATTTGTGCACGCGCACAGCCTGGGGACTTGGTTGGGCTTCAAAAGAATTAGCCTTTTTCGCCAAAAAGAAAGAATCGGAGTGTACAACAAGTACTATGTAGGCAAACGAAAGATCCCGTCGTCGCCGAGGGTTTGGGCCGACCCCCTTGCCGTAGGCAACCTTTCTCTCTCTCTCTCTCTCTCTCTCTCTCTCTCTCTCTCTCTCTCTCTCTCTCTCTCTCTCTCTCTCTCTCTCTTTCTTTCTTTCTCTGTGTGACAATCATAGACGCACACGCGCGCGCGCGCACACACTATTCAGAAGCACACTCAGAGGGTACGAGTGGACGTCGATTGCCAGCGAATTTTTTTCCCACCCGCGTTTTAATTTGTCTTTTTCCTTTACCGAACCCGACTCTAATTCAATTCGGAGTTGCCATCTTATTTATTTATTTATTTAAAACGAAGACCATTTCATTATTATAAATTTATATTAAAATAAAGAGGTTTGGCATCGGAGTGGCCAACGGGTTTTGCCTTTAAAAGGAAAAAAAAGGAAAAATAGCACATGTTTATATTTGCCTTTAAAAAAAAAAAAGAGGAGGAAAAATAGCACGCATGTTCAACCGTCGCTTAGGCTATTCGCGGAAATGACGATTGATGTCCGTAATCATTAACCGTCATTCTTTTTTAATTTTTGAGAAAATTATGAAAATTAAATCTCCCTCGCTTCGGAGGGGGTAGCATAGTGCATTGTGTATTCGTCAAAATCGATGCTTTTTTCATTTTTTAATCTCATAAATCGGCGCTGATTTTGAAATACCGGGCAATTGATATAAGTACGCTTATATTATAACTTATAAGTTATATATCCCAAATAAATCGTAATACAGAATTGCCCGGTATTTTATATATATATGACAATATATATATATATATATCGTCACAAACAGAACTGCCCGGTAAAACCGTAGGCAGAGAGAGAGAAGAGGACAACAAACGAGGGGCTGTGATACATCATACATATACATATCGCCAAACAGAGCTGCACGGTAAACCGTGGGCAGAGAGGGAGGGAGAAGAGGACAACAAACGAGGGGCTGTGACAAAATGTTTCGTCTTAGTTTCACCGACTCATCAGGAGGCTGAACCCTATATGTGTGTCTATCTATATATATATATCGTCTGTATGTATATATATATATATATATATATATATATATATATGTGCCTCTAGTGCCAGCGGCGTGTCTGGAGTGTATTTTTTGGCTGTGACAGACCTTTCTTTGTTTCGTGGATGTTTTGCTGGCTTGTGATGGG